TTCCTAGATATTAAGCAGAAATTTTCAATTGAACCAGAACAGAAAATAAATAAGAAATTTAAGACAAGACTAAATGAGAGCACATAAAGCTAAAAGGCAATAAAACTGAAATTAAATCCAATATCGAGAATGGATTTATTTTGAAGATAAAAAAAAATGTTGGTAAATTTCCCATTCACGAATAGACTGACAGCAAAAAGAACTCCATTTATGGCCTTATTGTTCTCAGAAAACGAAGAAGAAGTGCAATAACGTAATCGATACGTAGTTGTTGGACGAAGAAGTAATAAAAATATTCGAAGTGAGAAAACGGTAGACCAAAGTGATAAGGAACGGGAGTAAAAAAATATTTATCATGGTTGATTCATGTTTCAAAGTATTTCGCAAGACAAAATGTCTTAACCGTACGCGATGCGATAGTTACGATTCATATTATCTGAAAGAAGATAAATGTGCATGTGGCAATAATAATGGAGGTGCTAAAATTCCCAATATTAATAACAACAACGACAATAATAAAGTGGTAAATGACCTATCGAGTGAATTAATAATGAACGATATGGATCATCATGATTCGGAGGTTGTTCTGCGACGTCACAATCGAAAATATCTACACTCAATATCGACAGTTAGTAATGACGCGATGTCTAGTGACGATGATGAGACACTTGACATTTTATATCCCTTACCACATGTGAATACTCACGAACGGTCACTCAATAATAGCAATTGTACTGACGATATAAAGCGAATTGATAAAAATGGTATGATTAAAAAGCTTTCATTATTAATTACGACAATAGTGCCAATACAATATTTTATTTATTGATATCACACCAATCAGATAAAAGTCCAACTCAAGATAACAATGAGAGTCGTTTAGTGAGGAGTGAATCCGGTTCATACTTGATCAAAAAGCTCTTTAAAGAAAAATATAAGAAACGACAGGTGAATATGAATTTGTTTTTTTTTCTTCTCTCTCTTCTAGTTCAATATTTTTATTGCGTTTTGTTTTGGAAGTAAATGGGGAGTGATAACTGGCGATAACTGGAGAAAAAAAAAATTGAATGAAGCAAATGACGTTGTGTGACGAATTGTAAATTTTATCATGAAACGTGATCAGATTTTTCGGTTTTTTTTGGGGTAACATTGTCAGATGTCTTATTGACACATTCTAAGTCGCATTTTAGTTTTTTTGGACTGTTCATCTTAGCAGACATTCAAATGAATAGAATTCTACTTCTTCTATTTTCTGAGAACTTTGTCTGACAATCCTACTTCACTATAATTTATGATGAGGTCTTTGAACTTTTTTTTATTTTGAGAATTTAATCGGTTTGGTATTAAATTGGATTTGTGATGTTTTGATTGGGGATTTAATGTTGGATTATTTTTTATTGAAATGTTCGTACATGCTTATAATAGTCTATTGTGGATGAAAATTGTTTTGAACTCTTAATCAGCATTGCAATTGGATTTTAAAATGTTGTTGAATTTCAGGTTTTATATTATGGATTCTTAATGTGTCAGTTCGGTTGAGTAGCCAGCAAGGTACTCGAAAAATTTGTGGTTCTAGCCATGTCTCAGTTTCTGCACTGTATTACGCTTTTATGCTTCACATGACTTACAAAGTTCTTAGCGCTTAGAGCAGAATCGCAGAATGACAAATAAAGGCTTTTATATACATAATAGATTCTGAACAAAGGAAGAAAACAACATGATGGAAAAATAGGAAAAATATTTGATTGAAATTTCCCATCGTTGTAAGAAATTGGCGGGAATATCGAATTGAAACTTTTTTTTCAACCATGCTATTTTCTTCTACAATAAAAAAAAATCAAAGTTCTTATTCAGATTCTAAGTTTTAAAAAATTTAAAGCTTCATTTTGTCAGGAAATCCCTTTAATTCCCAGGAAAACTCAGACATTCTTGTATTATTCAAATGTACTCTAGTCATCCTAGTCATTCAGATCAATTGTGATGCAGAAGTGTGCTAGGGTGTTTCGCAGCTAATGAGAGTTTAACGAGTGAGGATGCGCCAAACCACTGCACTCAAACCTAAGCCTACAATTTATAGTGAATTCCGAACCACTCCTTTGATGACATTTCTGTCTGTAGCCTACAAAGGAAGGCTATGATTCGAAAAAGGACAAGTGAAAAATTTCTCATACCCAGTTTCAAACCCATGATCGCTGTGTCGGTATTAAGTACCGAAGTACGAAACCATTCCGTCACCGAGCCACTTCAGCTCTTTAAAGCTTTTTAAAAACATAATAAATTTGTGAATTCTGAATCCCATTAAAGCTATTAACAGCAATTTAAATTCAGTAGCGCCTTCATTCACGAAAAAATTAATTATTTTATTCGAAAAGTTAATGAATGAAAGTCGATACTTGACGAAATAAACGACTTCCTTATAATTGAGTCAGTAAACTTTTCCAACCCTTTTTTGAATACATTATTCAGTCATAGTAATTTATGAAATAAAAACAACATTTAATTTAATTTTCTGGAACAAAAAACAAAATTATTAGAGGAAGTAGAACTTTCGCATGCAAGCTCACCTGAAATTAAGCAACAATGGAACAGCAGAACGCTCAAAATCTCATTCGTAAATTGAATTCACGCGAAAGACGTCGCCAGAGTATTTATAATTTAATACCTGTTGATGCTTTAGATCCAAAATGCTCGACACATGAATTGATTGAAAATAAAGCGACACATTTATATCGTTATGGTTGCTGCAGCTTACAAGATGCGAACATTGAAATTGAAAACAATAGTTTGAGACGAAAAAAGAATCCAATTTTCCACTTCCAAGGTTTCTCAATATTATCACCAGCTCGTTAATTTTCATTTACATAATTCTTGCTGTTTTTCTCTTTCATTGATTTTTTTTTTCTTCTTCTCGTCTATACGTATTGCCATCATTACTATCATAACATACATACGTAAAAATTTATGTACAATGTTTATTATGTACCATCTTACATAGAACAATTTCGTGCCATATTGAGGATGAAGAAGGGAGAAAGGAGGAAAAGAAGAAGCATTTTCTCAAGTTTATTTAATGGAAGCTCATTTGATGAGCTCAATTTCATTTTCGAACCTATGCTCGTGGTTTGTTTTTACGTGGGGTTTGTTCATAAATGATGTTTAGTAGAAGTTTTTATATTGCAGGAGTGATTAAGCTTTTTTAAGCATCTGTATATTTTAGATCAAGACATTTAATCATAGCTAGTTTGAGTATCCAAGATACACTAATGTGTCGTGGCTTTCATATTTGCCATCACTGCCATTAGTATTTGTTTGTGCTGCTCATCGTTGTCTTCAATTGTCAAGCACTGATCTAGCTCTTTGTTGATTAAGTAACTCTAGATATGAGCCTTTCCACGCGAAAATGAGACTCGGTATTTTTTTGGTTTTGGCTTAATAAAACCATAAATAATGGTCCATACTATAGTATGTTATATATTTTTGGAAAGCTCTCGAGTTAAGCTTTCAATGTGGGTGAAGAAAAATTAATTATATTATCAAGGGTTGGAAACTTTCAGGTTTGAAACTATCGATCAACATACATTTTTGCGCGACACGCTGTGCTTTACTCTTTAAAGCAAACAGGATTATTTTAATTAAATTAGATTAAGTAAATAAGGTGTTAATGCAAAAAGGAAAGTTTTTCAAATTATTTTGCTTGGTTTTATTTTTATGAGCTATCAAACCTTGGGAATTTTTCTGTTCTTTTTTTATAAAAATGCTTATATCTTGTCCAAGCATTCGAATTAATCGATGATTTAAACGCTGTTTATCTTATTTTTTTCATACTTTAAATTTAAGCTCAAAACTACTTCCAAGGGGTGGAAACTTTTGTAAAAAAAGTTATCAACCCTTGATTTTTTTTCTTTTTTTTCTATTTAAACTATTAATTAAAATTGCTAATAAATATTATGAACCTAGAATAACATAGTTTTTATTAAAACTAATAGAAAAACATAAAAACTTAAAAAAAATTAATGTATAAATGATTTTTCATGGTTTTTCTTGGAATCTGTATCAAAATCGTCTTTTTATATCTCAGTATCTCATTGTCATTAATTATTAATGAATCAGAAACGGAATCAGAGTATAAAAAGACGATTTTGATACAGATCCCAAGAAAAACCATGAAAAATCATTTATACATTAATTTTTTTTAAGTTTTTATGTTTTTCTATTAGTTTTAATAAAAACTATGTTATTCTAGGTTCATAATATTTATTAGCAATTTTAATTAATAGTTTAAATAGAAAAAAAAGAAAAAAAATCAAGGGTTGATAACTTTTTTTACAAAAGTTTCCACCCCTTGGAAGTAGTTTTGAGCTTAAATTTAAAGTATGAAAAAAATAAGATAAACAGCGTTTAAATCATCGATTAATTCGAATGCTTGGACAAGATATAAGCATTTTTATAAAAAAAGAACAGAAAAATTCCCAAGGTTTGATAGCTCATAAAAATAAAACCAAGCAAAATAATTTGAAAAACTTTCCTTTTTGCATTAACACCTTATTTACTTAATCTAATTTAATTAAAATAATCCTGTTTGCTTTAAAGAGTAAAGCACAGCGTGTCGCGCAAAAATGTATGTTGATCGACAGTTTCAAACCTGAAAGTTTCCAACCCTTGATAATATAATTAATTTTTCTTCACCCACATTGAAAGCTTAACTCGAGAGCTTTCCAAAAATATATAACATACTATAGAATGGACCATTATTTATGGTTTTATTAAGCCAAAACCAAAAAAATACCGAGTCTCATTTTCGCGTGGAAAGGCTCATATAACTGCTGAATGAGAATCCTATTTATAGCTAGACGTCATTTGTGAATGACCCTACATACTTATTGAAATGTAAAGAAATGATAAAGATAGGGACATTATCGATTATTGACATCAATAATGCTGAATATTTAATATCTTTATGGATCACATCTCTGACTTCTCTTTTCTGTTTGTCTTTTCAGAAACTTCATGATGGAAAATATCCATATCTCATCCCACCGAATCCATCCGTACGAGCGTTGATAGTCTTTTATAAAGATGACCAAGTTAGCGATGCTGTATTGAGATCTTGTGAACGCTTAAATATAGAGATAACTCGTGCAAAGAGTACAGATTCAGCATTAGAGCTCTTTCAGAGTCCCCTAAATGGCGGACATCATCTTGTGATAGTCGATGGGAGATGTAAAAACACTGATGTCGAGTCATTTGGGAGGTTTGTTTATTAAACACAAATTAATTATCAATAATCGGATTAAAATTGAATTTATTTTCGTTGACTCGTCTAGATCATTGAGAAGTTCCAAGGGTAGTCAATATACGATTATGGTGTGTGTGGTTAAAAAGAGGTAAGAGGCATTTAAATAATTCTATGTGCTGCTCGAGGATGATGATGGGATAATGACACACCTGTTGATCTTTATCCTACATACCTTTTCACTCAAGAGAGCTTATAGTTAACGAATGATACACATTACTTCAATTAAACCGCAGGAAAAATCATTGTGCCTACATTGAAAGCTATACTCTTCATTTTGTACACAATGACATATTCTTGATGATTTATCAATCAATTTATATCGATGTTTTTTATGCGCTTCATTGAACGAGGAAGGAAATTTATTTTTTATTTATTTCATTATCCATCACCTTACTTCATAATCAATTTTCTAAGAGTATTTTTCAAAACTTTATCGATTCTTTTTTTATTGGTTAATTCAATTTTATAATGTTTACTCGATAAATTATATTACTTGCGGCTCAATATTATTGGTGATTCAGTATATTCCTAGTGAATGAAAAACACATTTGGAGATAAAGACAGGAAAATGTTTGAATTAATGCGCATTTAAAATTTAAACGGATTTTTCATATTTGAAAATAGTGGTTTGTGTCTTTGCTGAAATTGTGTCAAAACTAAACCCCCTCCATTGCCACAAATTTTTCAACTGTAACTACTGTAAGTATAAATAAGCTTATTTTTCTCAATATTTTAAATAAGTGAACAACTTCTTTTAATGTGTGTGATTAAGAAGGTTCTGAGAATTTGAGACAACTCGATACTTCCAGTTGAAAAATTTGTGGCAAGGGAGGGGGTTTAGTTTTGACACAATTTCAGCAAAGACACAAACCACCATTTTCAAATGTGAAAAATCCGGTAAAATTTTAAATGCGCATTAATTCAAACATTTTCCTGTCTTTATCTCCAAAGGTGTTTTTTATTCACTACTTTTTCCTACTCGGCAAATTGATTTTTCATAATAAGCTCTCTTTTTTTGGAAAGGTTATTTGACACATCGAGTGCACACGAAGCTATAAATTTAGATATCATTGTATATGAATTTTCATTTTATTTTCAGTGTTTTTGAAAAGGACGATACGTCGATTCTGTCGTTGCTAGATGTAGGATATAATAGAGTAAGTCACATAGCAAACAATGCATTATCGAGATAAATTTTTTAACAGCATCTCTTTTCTTCCATGTTTACTTCCCATTTCATTCATTCAATAAAATGTGTGACTACTCGTCCTCGTGTGCCTGATAACCACCATTCACACATACTACAGTGTATAATTGAATCTCCACATGTATCAATATTAAGCTCTGAACTTCGACAAATTCAACATTCGCTCATTAGACCGCAGAATGTTATCGCCACACAACAAGCTCTTTATGCTGCTCTTCATCGGGTGAAGGATACAGTTATTATAACAGATGATGCTTTAAGAATACAGTACATGAATAAGCAAGCTGAACGAATTTTGGGAATGAAAATTGTAAGTACAATTATTGTTCCTCACCTTGCAGTTATGCCAATATCCATTAAAAATAACAATAAATCAATTTTGATTCTATAGGACGAAGTAGTTGGTCGACCGTTGCATGACTTTATCAATTCGGACGCATCAGTGTTATTAAGTCAAACAAATAGACTGAGAGAGTTTGATGGGACGTTATCATTCACTCGTAAGGTTCAGGATCCAATTTTATTACATGTTCGAGCATATCCAGTTGCATGTTTAGGAAAATCAACAACTCATTTAATATTAAGTTTACAAGCTAGCGGTAGTCACGAGATGGGACTTCCATCGATTCCACAAGCCAAAGAACCGAGAGGTTCACTTCATTCAATAAGACGCGGTAGCTTTGATATCCGTTCGATTGCATCTGATGGATTAAGACGAACGAGTTTAGCAAAATTATCGTCACTTCCATTGGAAGCTCCCATCACCAAAGTGTTGAGTTTATTGACGCAAGTTCAGGAAAATTGTTCGAGTGATGAGGCTAGATTACTGGATCGTGTTATGGACTTTTTGAAGCGTGAAGGACTATATAGTCCGCAAATTAAAGAGATAAGACCTGAAGATCCAGTTGCAACTGATCTCATTGGTGCTTTATTGACAGTAAGTTGACACACATTTCATTCTATGTCAATGCAATCATATTTATTTATTTTAATATTTATAGCAGGGTCCAACGAACGTTGTGTCATCACGTCGTAGCTCAAATGAATCTATAATTCGATCAGGAAGTAGACAATCGAGTACAAGTGCATCTGTTCCAAAAATAAAGATGCCAACACATGTTTCGGAACTGCTCGAGTGTGCATTAGATTGGGATTTCGAAATTTTCCGTCTCGAGGAACTGACGGAAAAGCATCCATTAGTATATTTAGGAACAGAACTGTTTCGGCGCTTTGATGTCTACAATACATTCAATTGTGATGAAACGACGTTCAGATCATGGCTTATTGTCATCGAGTCACATTACCACATTGTGAATACTTATCACAATAGTACTCATGCTGCAGATGTTATGCAGGTCTGTAAATATTTATATTGGTTTTAGAAATTGTGTTTAAAGTACGTAGAAACTGATGTTTGTGCTTACTTTGACAAGTCTGCTTGAGGCAGTCAAAATATATAATAAAGTAAGCAAATTTTTGGGATGATCTTCATGAAAAAATATTCAATGCTGACGCAAATTTAAAATTTGGATATTCAAATAACCGTTGAAATGCGTCTTGACTATTTTTTATTCTTTTGTTCCCACAACTTCCAACCTAATCTAAAATCCATACCATCCATGAATGTATTTTCCCTTTTTTATTTGCATATCTACAATGTGAACAACACGACAGGCAACAGCATGTTATCTCCAACAATTAGCAAATCGTGACTTAAAAATTATGGATCGATTAGACGAGGCAACGGCATTAATAGCATCAGCTGCTCATGATGTGGATCATCCTGGGCGCTCATCCGCATATTTATGTAATTCTGACAATCAGTTGGCAATATTGTACAATGATGTTTGTGTACTTGAGTCACATCACGCTGCCACAACATTTCGTTTAACATTGTCTGATGAGAAAATCAACATATTTAAGAATCTAGATCGTGATATGTACAAGCTTGCTCGCTCAATCATTATTGACATGATTCTAGCTACTGAAATGACGAGACATTTTGAGCATTTAGCAAAATTCGTAAGCGTATTTGGGAATGATGCGGAAAATAAAGACGTAAGTTGGCATATTTGACATCGAGGTGGTGAGCTGTGGTCAATTTTATTGTCTAATTTCGAAAGTGAAGTTTTTGATTTTCAAAAGTAAAATTTTTGATTTTCGAAAGTGAAAATTTAAATTTTCTAAAGTAAAATTTTAAATTTTCAAAAGTGAAATTTTTGATTTTCGAATATTAAGTTATTGAATTTCAAAAGTGAAATTTTTGATTTTCGAAGTGAAGCTTTTGATTTTCGAAAGTTAAAATTTTCTATTTTCAAAAGTGAAATTTTTGATTTTCGAAAGTGAAGTTTTTGATTTTAGAAAGTGAAGTTTTTGATTTTCGAAAGTTAAAATTTTGATTTTCGAAAGTTAAATTTTTGATTTTCGAAAGTGAATTTGTTGAAATTCGAAAGTGAATTTTTTTTCGAAAGTGAAAATTTAAATTTTTCAAAGTAAAATTTTAAACTTTCAAAAGTGAAATTTTTGATTTTCGAATATTAAGTTATTGAATTTCAAAAGTGAAATTTTTGATTTTCGAAGTGAAGCTTTTGATTTTCGAAAGTTAAAATTTTCTATTTTCAAAAGTGAAATTTTTGATTTTCGAAAGTGAAGTTTTTGATTTTCAAAAGTAAAATTTTTGATTTTCGAAAGTGAAAATTTAAATTTTCTAAAGTAAAATTTTCTATTTTCAAAAGTGAAATTTTTGATTTTCGAAAGTGAAGTTTTTGATTTTCGAAAGTGAAGTTTTTGATTTTCGAAAGTTAAAATTTTGATTTTCGAAAGCAGAGTTGCGAAACAGGTCATCTGTGACAGGTGAGAACCTTTCAATTCCTTGATAATTTGTATGGTTTTGTTAGAAAAACCTTATAAATTATCAAGGAATCGTAGGGTTCTCACCTGTCACAGGTGCCTGTTTCGCAGCTCTGTTCGAAAGTTAAATTTTTGATTTTCGAAAGTGAATTTATTGAAATTCGAAAGTGAAAATTTAAATTTTCCAAAGTAAAATTTTAAATTTTCAAAAGTGAAATTTTTGATTTTCGAATATTAAGTTATTGAATTTCAAAAGTGAAATTTTTGATTTTCGAAGTGAAGCTTTTGATTTTCGAAAGTTAAAATTTCAAAATTAAAAATTGAAATTGTGTGCATATGATATTTTTGATTACACTCACCACTCCTGCCTCACATGTTTCTGTCGAATTCATATTTTCTCAAATTTCTAAATTGAAATGCAGATTGTAATTAAAAAATATCCCTTAAAGCTTCCAAATGACGAAGATAATCAAATGTTGATCCGACGAATGCTAATCAAATGTTCTGATGTCAGTAATCCAACAAGACCATTGAAATTCTGTGTCGAATGGGCTAGAAGGTAAATTTCAACATACATACATTGTATACATGCACACATGTGTCTATTCTCGCTCTCTTTTTTGTAAAGAGATGAAAAATCAATTTCATTTCATTGTATCCAAAATGCTGTCAAAAAATATTCAATTTACCTTTTTTTCTTCTTGTCTCCATCATTTTATTGTCAAAAAATTTCCACATGCCATGCAGAATCGCTGAGGAATATTTCATACAAACCGACGACGAGAAGCGGAAAGGAATGCCTATTGTTATGCCGATGTTTGATAGGTATTATGATGCTTAAATATCTAATGAGATGTAATGTCTTTGTTTTTCTAAAATTGGGTATGATAACTTGATACTGTTACATTTCTGACATGCCTTAATGTTTTTACTTGCTAGAATGTCAATTTTTTTGATAGGAACTGACAGTCTTGAATTTGATTTTCAATTCATTTGATTCCTCACAGTTCGAAATTGAGATAAATGTTTTTATCCTGTGAATTCACTGCTGGATTATATCATTGATGTTCTGAAATGATAAAATTTGGAAGGGTTAGATTTGGAGAATCAAGTAATGTTTCTCACAATAAAAGTTCCAAAAAGCTTTAACAAAAAGATTTAAAGGTACAAATTTATTAAGATTTGAGGAATCGAATTAGATTTGAGTGTAGTTTGTAAGAAATTGAGGAAATGAGGTTAATCGCGTAGCCAGAGGGGATATAAAGGATTTGTCTCCTCTACCAGCTGATAAGTGTCGACCTTGAAGCCGAGTATTCAGATAAAAGATCTTAAATCTGGGTTTGATTCCAATTAAGGACCATTTCAGTTTTCCAACAAAGTCTATATGCTAGTAAGGTGTTTAATCTACGCTAAAAATGAGCCATTCAGGCTACATACGGTTTCAATGTATTTAAAAATAAAGCATAAACATGAATAAGCACTTAAATTTTGGAAGAATTTAATCCATTATAGAACAAAAACAGGAATTTTAAAAACCATTCTTATCTACTTCTTCATAGTTGACTTAACTCCTTCAAGTCATCAAATATGCTGCGTCATTTATTTTAATCAAGTTATTGACCCCCAATTATTTATTTATATTATTTCCCTTAATGTGTATATGTTAATCTATAAATGTCTCATCTCACATTACTTTCTTATTTCCTTACAGAGCAACATGTTCGATATCTAAAAGTCAAATCGGCTTTATAGAATTCATTATTCAAGATATGATGAATGCGTGGGATGGATTTATAGATATGCCAGAGCTTGTGCAATACATGCAATATAATTATACTCAATGGAAGCTATTTGAGGAGCAGGGCATCAATACGTTGAACGATATTAAGCGTAAGCAAATGTCGATAACGAATGCAAATCTATCGAGTATGAAACTGGACGAAATGATGTGAAAATTAATTGAAAAGTTGTGGAATTAAAAAAAGTAAAGACTTTTTGTGCTATTCTAATTTTTCTTTCCATGTGCCAATTAGTATGAGAAATTATGGAATGTATTTATGGCAGTGCTGTTATCTGGGTGTGAGGGATTTCCTTGATAGTAATCGATTTAGATATTTCTAAGACATCAGGATGAGATTTTGAACGTTTAGAACAGTCTTGGTTTGGATATAGATGTCATCTAGGCTTTTGTTATAGCTGTTTATAGTTTATATCAATGACCAATGAGTTATCGAAGTCAAGAAAGATTATTAATCAATCGATCTGGTTATTCAAAACTTGATCAAACCTACTCTTGATGAACTTGTTCTTGATCATACTAAATGTTGATCAAACTTAGTCTTGATTGAACTAAGTTTTAATCAAACTTATTCTTGAACAAACCTTCTCTTGTTCAAACCTAGTCTTGATCGTGATAGCATCTAAGAATGTTGGTGTTTTGGTTCTGACCCAGACAAAGTCTTATCAATGTCAGAGATCAAGCCTTAACATCCCTACTAGCAGCACCGCTTTCTTTTTATAGTGCCGGTTATATCTTCTATTAAAATCGCAGAAAACTTATATAAAATGTCGATGTTAATGCAAATAAAATGAACAAAAACCAGAATTATAAAAAAAGTGAAAAAAATCTTAATTTAGAGTAAATGAAATAATTAGAGCATTAAGTCATGGATGTTTTATTAAAATAATTAAGAAAAAAAGGCACATAAAAATATTTTGTCGATCTTAATGGAAATGAAAAGAATTATAAGCTTTAAAACTCACGAAAAAAAAATTATTGTAATTTTTTTGTTGAATTACAAAAAAAAATATTAGTTGATAGAAAATTTAATTTTTCTTCTTTTTCTAGTCGATCAAATGCTAGCAAAAAAAATACAAAAAATAAATTTATAATATATAATAGCAAAGCATATACAGAGAAAAATTAGCAAATTGATTAATTGTGAATTATGTAATCAGCAACAAAATTTTTGAGGAGTAGACACAAAAATATGAGTTTTTGAATAGTTAAAGGTAGATAAATAAATTCTTTAATTTTGGTTGTATTACTGATTGAAATTAAGTTTGAGAAAAGTCTTCAATTCAAAAATCACGTTCAAAATTGATGAAAACATTCACGGAAGTGATTAATAATAATTTTTGAATAAATACGTGCTAAGATCAGTAATACATGAAGCATGAACAAGAAAATGCTATAAGAAACTTTAATCGATTATGAATTTTTGAAATTGAAAAGTTTTTCATTCTTCACATTCACAAGTTCCCACTAAGAAGCTTCATCCAAGGAAAAATAATTTTCTACGTTGAGACATTTTCAACTTTATAATCGGCTCAAAAACTTTCATATTTTCTATTGTGAATTGTGAATGGGTTGAAATCATATAAAATTTTATTTGAAAAGTTATATTTTGTGGAAAATGTTTTTAACGTTTTATTTTAATTTAAACAAAATGTTTATCTGAGACACATTTTTGTGTGTTCATCTAAGACACGTTCATAAATTCAAAATAATTATGTTTTAACGGTTTTATCTGAGATACACATTATTGTAATTATCCGAGACACAATTCAAACTTAGATTTTAATGTGTTTTAAAACATAAATCAAGACACATTTTTGTGAATTTTTTCGAGACACGTTCTTGTAAATTCAACCGAGACACAATACAAAAATTCAAAAGTTAATTTTACATGTCAAAATTGAAGCATGCACCAGAATTAAAATTTAAGAGAAATTTTATAATTTGAAATTTTTTGTAAAAATTTATTCTTCAGAATTAGACTGAATTCAATTAATATGTCTTCTTCATCTTCCTTCTTCATCACCTCAATTATTTGAGGCATCTTTCACTTCAAATAGTTTAAAAATAAATAGCGGAACAAACAAAAAAAAAAATATGATGGAAAAAAAGTAATATGAATGTTTTACGTGCTCATAACAAATGCTTATAACTTAATACAATACACAAACAAGAGGTAATACATATGAAATTATAAATTATTCAAAAAAATAATAAATTTGTAGCACAAATTTGCTAAAGGAGAAAACTTTTGAAAAGCATTTGATGTTCTTCTTCCTCCTTTTATTTTAATTCTTTTGGTTGAAACTCTTGAATTATTTAATTAATTGACTAATTAATGGGAAAAAGAATGATTCATTATATTTAACGTATTTAATTTTTTTTTTATTCTTAAGGAACATATTTTTGAGATAAAAAAACGTATGCTGGTACATACAAAAATCATTGGTATAGTAAAAAAAAATCTTAAAAAATAAATAAATTAAATTTAAAATATTATTAGATGAAAGCACACACACACACTTATTTAGGAAGTGAATGAATATAGGTGAATTAAAAATAAAGACATAAGAGAATGAAAAATTTAAATTTGGGATGTAAGAATTTGATTGGAAGTTGTCGACACAAACTGCTCAAAATTATTATTTAATTTACTTTATTCAGAAACTTTAAACATTTCTTAGTCTGATTGTTCTTGTAGATTTATTGCTTAAATCCTTTTACATTTGAAAACAAAATAGAATTTGAAGATTTATTCATGTGCATAGCTTTAAACAAAATCAGTAGCTAAGTAAAGATTTTATGGTCTCTCTCATAAGCTTTACCTATTGGAACTCAGCTGGAACAGAAAAAAGCATCTAAAATCTATGAATTCATTGTCAAGTGCAACACCAAGCTATATTTCAAAACCTATATTAGATCAAACTTCATAAAGCTATCAATGCTAATTTTGAGTCACTCGTGTGAATCTTTTGATTCGTAATGAATCACTAGAAACCAATAATGAAGTGGTTGAGTCAAATTAATGCTACAGCAATGTTTTTTCTTTTAAGTAAGCATCAAAAACTTTAAAAATTGAGTGTGGAATTATTGATAATTATATGTTCAGTATAAGTTTGAATAACTTATTTGGAGTTTTAAAAAAAATGAAAATCTTTTCTTAACTTGGGAAGTTTCCGGAAGCTTCCTAAGTGTAGACGCCTTGGATTAAAATCTAATATCCAGAAAAGGTTTGGAACAAAAAAATCTACAAACGCAATGTTTACAACTCGAAATAGCTGAGTTTTAACCACAAAGTTTAAAAGTAAAGCTTAAAGCTAATCTCAAGATTTAAGTTAAGTTTGCTTAATTTTCTAATTCCTAGAGAGTTGTCTTCTTAACCTTCCATTGACAACGAAACTATCTGAACAAGTTTATAATTTACAAAAGAATCAGAACATAATTGGAGAATTTAAGGAATTTCAAGTCCAATCCTGAATTAATATTTTAGACTAGAAATTTAAAGGTTTCTGAATGAATTTGAAATTTATTGCGAAAATTGTAAAAGTTTCAAGCACAAAAGAATTATTTATTCATCAACTAAGTGTAAACAAAAAAGGCAACCTCCGATCAAAAATTCATAAGAACCCCAAATAAAAATGTTATAAATCTATCTAGTGAAAGTAAATTCGGAACATATTATGAATGTATTATGGAATTAACAATAATATTTATATTAATGTTAACAAATATATGAATATTGACGAGAATCCTATTTAATCAATTTAAGGTAAGAAATTTGAAGGAGTAGACAAACTGCAGAATAAATTACATTTTTTGATGATCTTTGCAGCGCGAAGAATCTTTTTTATCTATCATCTGCCATACTTCTAAATATATTTATCAAATCTTCCCCCTTTTCCTTTTCCTATTGATAGGAAAACTAAAATCTTTGCACATTTTCTACTCTTTCACTAGTTCAAAAAAATGGGAAAAGTGGATACAACAATAAATTATAAATATGAAAAAATAAATTAAAAAATGAAACAACTTTTTTTCTTGATGAAAAATCTAACAACAAGATACTTTTTGAGAATATATGTTTTATGAACTGAATAAAAATGAGAAATATTTGTATGTGAAAAATTTTAATTAGATTTTTCCTTGTTTTATGACTGACAAGTATTTCAGGAATGTCATTTTATTAAATTTTTAGGGATGCTGTCAAGGCCCTGGATGGTATATTTTCGTATATAGACGCTCGCTCTCGTATTTTGTTGGAATTTCGAGGCAATAATGGTAATTGTTTTGATTTCTAGGAAAACTTATTATTATAGCTTCAAATTACATCATTACAAGGCATTCTTGACTTGCTTTCAAGGTGACTTTTCTGTTTTTTCTAAAATTTTAAACTACTTATTAATTTTTATTTATCATTGGAAAAGTAGAGGAAATAAAAGCAATTAATGGCTCGTTTAATAATGTTATCTGATGTATTCAGCCTTAATATTAAAGTACAATATACATTGCAAAAGCATTTGTCCTTCTTAAGAACTGGGAATCTGAAATCAAAAACTAATTGTTTTCATCAATGTTTTTTTTATCTCTGAACCAGTGTTGCAAATGTAGATGTCTACACTAGATAAAGAATGTAGATTCTTCAATAGTTTTTGTCTAGCTAAGAAACTTTCTTCATAAAGATCGATTCTACATGAAGATAGAAAATCTAATCTACACAAAGATTATTTCTACATAAAGATTCTGTCTACATAAAGATTCGATGTAGATGTCTACAATTCTACATTTTTTCCAGGTCTACATCAGAGAAGATCAGAGAAGATATCTGATCCACACAAATGGCCAGAATGCAACACTGCTTTGAACCAAACCAACTTCAACTTAAACTTAGTAATAACGTGTCATTGTCAAGGGTAAGGGTACTGATGAAATGATCAAAAGTGATCAAAAAAATGATCAAAAATGATCAAAATGTGATTCTTCAGTTCCACATCATTTTTAGGTCATTGTTAATTTTTCAATTATTTGCTTTGTTTTTAAGAAATTCGAGAAATTCGAATATTTTTAAAATCTGAAAAATTTACACGAAATAAGAAAAAGTGAAATTTCGTTCGTGAAACTTTAAACTTTTTTGATATAATATACATAAACTAGACATAAAACCATGTTAGAAAACAACAACTTCGACTTTTTGTCGCTTAAATCCTCGGAAAATAAAATAAAGAAAATGAAACTTTCCCAGAATGTTTAACAAACTTTAAATGGTTTTATGTTATGATCGATAGAAAATTCCAATAAAAAGCTTGCTGGCTAATCAAATCAGAAACATTTTGTGTGTGACTTTTAAACCATACCCTGAACTTTACCAAACAAACAAACCTAGCTTCTTAACTTGAACAGTTAAAATGGAACCAAAACTAGTGTATCGGTGAAGAGTATGAACAAAATTCAGATGGGGTAGTCGAAATTTTAGATTTTGATTTTTTTTAAGCTATGCATTACAAAAAGTAATATTGGTATATGATTTACGTAAGAATTATGTCAATTCAAATAAAACATCGGAAAAAATTTTTTGACCAAAGTACACCATAGAAAATCAATTTTCAATTTTGGACTAGGGGCTACCCTAGTCAAAATCAATTTTGTCACTTTTTTTTTGAGGGTTTATCCAAATAGATTGAAACTTTTCATAAATATTCTAGTGCTTAAAACAAATACAAATAAAACATTTTAAATTTTTTTGAGCAAAGAACCAAGTAGGAAATACATTTTCAATTTTGGACTAGGGGCTACCCTAGTCAAAATCAATTTTGTCACTTTTTTCTTTGAGGGTTTATCCAAATAGAATGAAACTTTGCATAAATATTCTAGTGC